TTCCAGCTACTTGGAAGGCTGAGGCAGAAGGATCGCCGGAGCCCAGCAGGTCGAGACTACGGTGGCCGGGAGCAGCCACTGCACTCCAGTCTGGGCGACAGAGTGAGACTCCAACTCAAAAAATAATAATAATAACAATAATAATAGTGAAAATAACTTTTGTTTCTGATTGGATGGATGGCTTAATATTATTAACCTCAGCTGGTAGGCTACATACAAGATGTTTAAAGACAATAGTCTCAGCACCTAGAAACAGACAATCTAACAAAGTGACACCCATGGCACATAACTCGCTTTGTGTCGCTGTTTATAACTTAGAAAGATGCCTATATGTTTGCTATATAAGAAGAGTTTCCAGACATCAAAAGATATCTATCACATTAAGATCTGGACCATTATAGACAAGATTATGTTATTTTAATTTAATAATGAAGAGATTTCCTGATTATAAATGTTTTTGAAAAATGCAAAAAGTACAGAGAAGAAAATAAATCACTTTAGAGATAAAGTCTTGTTAGTTAATAATATATTTCCTTTCAGTTTTTTGTATACATTTATATTCTTTTATAGCGCAGAGATTATACTACATCCATAACTTTACAACCTACTTTTTTGTTTACTATATTTTTTGTTTACTATATCTTATGTCTCATGAGGACTTGCTTTCCTGGTCATGAAACAAGTTTAATTTTGGGGGTTTTTTTTGGTTTTTTTGGCGAGGGGGGGAGGTATTTTTGAGTCCGAGTCTCACTCTGTTACCCAGGCTGGAGTGCAGTAGCATGCTCACGGCCACTGCACCCTCGACCTTTTGGGCTCAGGTGATCCTTCCACCTCAGCCTTCCAAGTAGCTGGAACCACAGACATGTGCCACCACACTCGGCTAATTTTTTGTAGAGACAAGATCTCACCATGTTGCCCAAGCTAGTGTTGAATCCCTGAATTCAGGCAATCCTCTTGCCTCTGCCTTCCAAAGTGGGATTACAGGCTTGAGCCACCACGCCTGGCTAAGTTTTCATTTGTAATAGCTACATGATAGTCTATTGTAATTTTTTTTTTTAAGAGACAGGATCTCACTTTGTTACCCAGGCTAGAGTACAGTAGTGTGACAATGGCTCACTGCAGCCTTGAACTCTTGGGCTCAAAGATCCTCCTACCTCAGCCTCCCGAATCACTGGAACTACAGGCGCATAACTGCCATTCCTGGCTTATTTATTTACTTATCTATTTATTTAGTTAATAGAGAAAAATTCTATGTTACCCCAGCAGGTCTTAAACTCCTGGCTTCAAGTTACTCTCCCACCTTGGCCTCCCAAAGTGCTGGGGTTATAGATGTGAGCTAATGTGCCTGGCTCTATTATAAATTTGAAATTCTACAATGATAGAATATTTAGGTTGTGTCTATCTGTGCAAGTAACTGTGTTTGTGTTTCTGATGTTTTTACTGGGATGTGTCATAAAAGGAAAATGATTTTATCAAATAGTAAGCATTTTAAGGCTCTCATTACATAATGCCCAAATTTATCCCAGAGAAGGGGATCCCTGTGCTCTCCCACCAGCAGTTATTTTTAAGGGAAGACTGAATCTCAGCCCATTATCTTTTCCTATTTCCATTTTAATTTTAAATTTGCAGTAAGTTTAAATAAGAGGCATTCAAATTGTAAGAAGCATGAAAAAGCATTTGGGGCAAAGAGGAAAAAAATGTGCCCCAAATAGAAGAAGGCTTGACACGTAACAGCTGGGAGCAGAGGCAACAGCTGACTGTGTGCCCAACTCTGGACCTCTGAGGACTAGACAAGCCCTGGGGTCCCCTTCAACCTCACATTCCGCTCTTGTCTTTGAGACAGACAGGAAAACAGAGGGTTTGGAGTCCTTAAGTGGTTTACCAGCCTCAATAAAGGATGACTGACTTTGAATAGAGCCCATTCATATCAACTTTCTTTTCTTCCTAAAACAAACTGCCCAAGCCTGTCCTCATCCCTCTCCCCCGCTCACCTCCTCAGAGTCAGGCAGACCCCAGGGACTCAACTCCTCTGTAACACCACTACCCCAGACTGCAGGACTCCGCTTAGCAAATGCCTGGCAGGAATGAGACTGCACCTCTGGGGTTTCCCGAAATGGAGGCCCAGCTGGTCAGCGTGGGAGCTCCTGAGGCGCTCAGCAAGAGCAGCTTCTCACGGTGAGACTCTAAGGAGAGCAAGTCTGAACGCCACACGTGCTTTCCATCAGCCAGGGCAGCTCTTAATGTGCAAAGCTTTGTCGCGGGGGGAAAGGACACCAAATGAGACGAAAGGCAGCCAGGAGAAGAAAAAAAACATTTTAATAAACTCATGGCATAAGGTCTTTCCTGCAGCATCGCTCTTCCTGTGTTTCAGGTGTCCTTAATTTGAACCCCTTAAAGTTCCTGGTTTTCGACTGGAACTGGAGAGATCAGAAGTTGAGGAGAATGATGGACATTCCCGAGGTACCCTGCAACCAGCAATTGCCTTTAATCATGTATTTTTTTCAGTTTGAACTTGAGTTCAAACACATAATCAGTCTTTGACATGGGAGCCAGCACATTCTAGCTTTTGAAGTGATTTCTATCTTTTAACTCTGAGGTAACTACAATTAAGGAGGCCACCTCATCCCCTGACACAACTGCTTCCTTTCTGGGTGTTTTATAGGAACCAACTTTGTTGCTCATTAAATGACCAACAGCCTCTCCTCACTAGGGCAGCATATCTACACGCTGCCTTTGAGAAGCTGGAAGGCCTGGAAGACGCAGCACTCCCCCTGAGCCTCGCTTTGTAGACGCAGTCATCTTTGCCTTTTGTCCTTAAACACACACT